AGCCTTTCTACCAGGACAGGGGCATGGACCAAGAATAAGTTGAAGGTTGGGCGCACACCTTGCAAATGGAATGGAGAACCCTAGTAGAAATCATAGTAGAAAACTAGGTTTCCATATGCATAGCCACACTAAATAGGACCTTACGCAGCAAATGTACTGGTAGCTGAAGAAACTAATCCAATTTGCAAGGCCAAACATCTAAATTTTATTTTAAAATATAGTAAGGTTCTCAATGACTGCTTGCTTTTGTAGCAATATTCCAAGTTGTTACCACCGACTCCTAGACTGTTTAAGTTCCTGATGGCCAAAGGTACCAGGTACCTTACTGCCAGTAAATAAGACTGTGCTCTAAGTTAATGTGACTGATGCAGGTAAAGTTACAGCCTTTTGAAATATTATGCTGTGAATAAAATTACTTACAAGTACAATGGATTATAAATAACATAGTGTGTATGTGCAGTGCAGTTTGACTTATTTTTGCAAATATATGCTCCCTGAATAATTATTCCAGACAACAACTTGTGGAATAGTTGCCACAGTACACATCATGCTCTCCCTAGTAACTCACTGTCTGGAAAAGATTTTATATGCAGGTGTGCAGCAGTCTGATTGCCTTTTTAAGGATTTCTGAGGTCTGAAATGCCGTAACTTTAAAATTGGAAAGGACCTATGCAAGTTAGTTCATTTGTCCTTATTGCTTCCACGGCAGTAACATGTCAGTATTTCTGGGACACTATCAACCCCTTATTAAACAGCTAGGTATAAAAAGATTGTATATCAGAATACATATCTAGCATTTAAAAGTTGGGAACAATTTCTGTTCCCAAACATTGCTTATCTTTGTCAAGTGCCCAGATTTTCTTACTGCCCTGTTCTTTGTGCATAGCTTAAAGTTTTCACAAGATTATGGATAGTCTGGAGAAGTAAAGGCAATTCCACATAATGATGATAGAATAGAGAGTATGATTTATTCCTAAGAGAACACCAAGTACCACAGCAGGACGAGGAAAAAAAAATAAGCCCAGAGAAAAGGAGTAGCTTCTTGAATTTAATTTATGTAAATAAGGGCCACAATCTTGAAAGTTTAAGAAACACATGTGGAAAAATGAGGTGATAATTAGGTCCTAAGGAGCCTGAGGAGTACTGGGAAGGAAGCCTGGAGTTATCTGAAGTGCATTTATGGAGAGCTATTAGAGGAAAGTCACAGCTGGAAGTGCAGAGTTTTGTTGCACACATTCTTGTAATTTAGAGGGAGAACTAGAGATAAGTCAGTGCAACACCAATAAGCTAGCAGCCACATTAGGCATCCTCTGACTCCTTTCTTAAGGATTTCAGCCTAGATTGCTGCTGTGTAGTTCTTAGAAAAGTCACTAAAAATGGAGTATCTTCAGAGAAAAAAATTAAAATATACAAAAGTGAGAATTGGTTGTATTTGATATTTGTCACAAACTATTTCTTTTGATATTGGTTCACAAAAGTCCAGCTTTTTGTGTCCCATGGTCTCAACATTTCTAGAATGGCAATCTGACCCCCAAGAGGTAGTATGATGATGACAATCTATGGAATCGTATGTACGTCTTACTGAAAAGAAGTAATATTGATGAGTAAACATACACTCGAGTGTAAGAGTTATCCCAATTAGCGTTCAAGACCCTCAATTCATCTGATGGAGAAAGATGCTTTTAAAACTAACCATGTGCTGCAAACCCCAATCTGCTACAGAGATAACAATGATGAACAGCAAAATGAAATGAAGGGCAATTTGTGTGATTTGGACAAATAGAAGTTGAAAGCAAAGCTTGTGCCCTTGGAACTAGTGAAATGATAGACCCTGGGTACTGTGAATGAAGTGGCCAAGCTTCCTAGTTCCCAAGTACCATCCTAGTCAATCATGCTGAGGTTGTTAATTCAGGCATTTCACCAATGAGCACAGGCGTCTCAAAGAGCTTAAGCAGCCATGGGTGCAATAGTTAGTGGTAGAGTTACAAGCCAGGTATGTGACCAGGTACAAAGGCTTGATTACAAGGTTCTTACAAAGGAAATTCCTATCTCTCCCTCATCAAATCAAGACCATTGTAGAAAATGAGCTAAAAAGCTGTTGTAGACTAATTGTAAGCACTGAAACTACCAAACATTCAGTTTCATTTTAGTTACCTACTGTGGGTCATCAATGCTCCATTTGTACTTCCATGAAATTAAAAAGTCACGGGGCTCAGTATAAGCAGCTTGAATGTCAGCGTGCTGCCCTTGAGAAGTAGGAGTGACCTCAAGTAATCCTTTAGTTCACAGGAATAAGGAAATTTCATGAGAAACCCCATGACTTTCTAGATGGACACACAGCATGACATGAACTTAGTAGAACTCCAGATTTCCCATTCAGTACAAAACTGATGACAAATACTATTTTCTGTTTCTCAACTGATTAGTCCTGAGTAGGAGTATTAGGTTATGTTATATATGCTTTGTTAATGAATGCTTCCAAACAAAAACTGTCTTGAAGAAAGAAAATCAGCTTGTTAACTTTTGCTTCTACATTAGCTGCATGCTTACGTATTCAAGATACCCACTGTATGGGGAGCAGTAGGAAGGAGCCCCAAGATATGGGGGCTAGAAAAAGGGAGTATCAAGATATGGGATGAGAAAGATGAAATACCAGGACATGCAGAATGGAGTACTCAGACATTGGGAACAGCAGAATAGTGTACCAAAACATGGAGACCAGCAGGGTAGAGTGTCAGACGTGGCACAGAAGGTAATTTTCTTCTTTCACATTTGGAACTGGCCATTCATCCAGAGTCATTCTGACGTGGAGTTATTGATCTCAAAATTCAAGTTAAATTACTCAGTTAATAGTATATATTTATAAAATTGGTGTTTAGTGGTGGGAGCAACTATTTCAAAATTATTGGCTTTTACTTCAATGTCAAACAATCAACAAGAGAGTAAACATTTATCAAAACGATCAATTTCTTGCTCTTTGAGTGTAGATAGAATTACAAACATAAATATCTCATGATTAAACATGGTGTTTATAAATAGCTAATGAAATTTATGGGTAAAGAAAAGTTTCTGTCTTGACCAAAGTTACTTAGCTGTAGATCACATTTTATATAAGGAATATCTTCTGAAAGTCAACTTTTAGAGAATGTTGATTGGAAACCACTTTAGTTGTAATTTCTTTTTAAGTAATTTCATTATTGCTTTTATTCACGATTTTTCTGGGCCAAGTACTTTATATATTATGAATCTCTTTTTAAAAGATTTATTCATTTTAATATTATGTGTATGATCGGTTTTCTGCATACATGTATGTGTAAAACCTGTGCACATGGTATCTGCAGAGTCCAGGCGGGGTACCATAACCTCTGGAACTGGAGTTGCAGATGGTTGCAAACTGTCATGTGGGTGCTGGGAGGCAAACCTAGAACCTCTGAAAGTAATCAGTGCTTTGGACCCATGAGGTGTCTCTCTGGCCCTGAACATGAAATGATTAATATGTATTTATGTGTTTTTGAGTCTTAAGCAGTATCTTACCATTATTGTCAGATTTTTTTGTTTTAAAATTTATTTTATTATATTCAGAGTAGATGTGGGGGTTGTGTTTGTATGTGTGAAAGTATGTGTATTTGTGTATTCATGAAAGTCCAGGAAATTCAGATGAAAATCTTTTGGGAGTTGGTTTTTTCCTTCTACCATGTTGGTTCCAGAGATAAAACTCAGGTTTGGCAGCATGCACTCTTACCTGCTGAGACATTCCATTTACCCCCAATGTCAGCTTTTCTATGAATTTCTTTATCTCTTTGTTTTTAGAATCTCACTAGACAAGTTTATAAGTGAGGAAAAATAAATTATAAGCAGTCTTTCTTAACTTAGGCTTACATCTAAACATGATTTCTTTCTTCACATTACGAAAAATAACAATGTGGAAAGGCATTGGGAACCATATTGCATTTTTACTGTCCCCAAGACTATTCTGAGAATATTTTGCTTGTCATTTCCTTAAGCTGAAATGAGGAGTAATCAATCTGTATAATTAGAGAATTTAGATTAGAGATTTTCTATGTTCTAGAGTTGTGAAAAAATCAAATATCTATTTTCCCGTTCTTTTTCTTCTTCGCTACATGTATACATCCTGCATACTCACACATGTACTCATCCATATACATGCATATATACACATATGTATACTTGCACACAAATGTACATAGAATCATGTATGTAAGAACACATTCATATCCATATGTCAGATAACAGCTGGTTCTTTTCTCTCCTAACTCTATGTTGTGATATATCCATTTTCAAAAAATAAAATATCTAAGCGAATTTGGAAAATTAATATTACAATGACAGAATTGGGAATTGTTTAAAAATACTCACATATTTTAACTTTAACTTCTCAGGATAATTCTATGTGAAACAGTACAGTTCTAATTTGTCATCTTTGAATCTTACATTTTGCCATTAATGGTTTTAAAAATTGTGTTCTCAGGATTTCATTTTTTATGCGTAACTTCAATGGGCTCTTCCACTTTCTGACAGATTGATTTAAAAATAATGTAACCAAATTTTAGGTGAAAGCATGAAGAAGGATTGTCCAGAAACTAAATGTTTAAATTATCCTCTGTCCCTGTCTGTCTCTCTCTGATGACTTGATAAATGAGGCCCAGTTAGAGGCATCACACTAAGACAATTCCCAAGCAATCTCTCTAGACACACATGCTTTAGCCATAAGAGGTGAATCCAATTTCTGCATCCCAGTTTCACATATGGAATGTTGGACGTGTCTGTCCCTCTTTAGATTCATTAGTCAGGAGAGAATATATTGTGACAACTAGAATACCAGTTTTGGAAAATTAGAATGCAACCTTGAGGATTTTTTTTCCCTCCAGAATCAAGTGATACGAGATGTGTGTAATTCAGGTTGCTATGCTGTAAAGCGTAGCTGAAGACCATGATTCTCATGCAATTACAAGATGAAAGTGAGATAAATTGGCACTCACAGTTGTGGCAGGTGGCCCCGCTGTATCCTGTCTCATCGCAAGTGCATTTGAAGCTGTCCCATGTTTGCGAGCACTTCCCACCATGCTCACAGTGATTGGGCACACATCTGTCAGAAAAAAAAGAGACACAGAAATAAACCAACAAGCAAATGAGATTTATGAGTGGCCAAATTCCAAGCTGTTTGGGCAATATATCATTTCAATGCCAGGTTGCCTTGCTGAAGCAATTAATCCTTGTTAGTTTAAGCAGATTAATATGATTCATGATGGAAGGCGCCAGGCACACAAAGATGATGTATCAAAAGGCTTGGTGTTTCCTCTTTTTGAATAAACAATAGATGCTATCACACAGGTGAGGGGTTCATTTACACATCACAGATTCATTTTAGTTTAATTCAACAAAGGACAAAAACACCCACTAAGTTTCCTCTTGGTAAGTGATGGAAGATGGACCATCTTGTTCTAACTTTGTCTTTATCAACATCAATATGAGTAAGAAATGTTCTGATAATGCCACATAAACAACAATGGAATATACCAGTCTAATAGGAAGAGGTTTGTGAATCTTCCAAAAATCTCCTCCTATGCCTATCTGAATCATTACATGTACATACTTAAAGGGTTTGCAGGCATAAGTTAGGAGGAAAAAGCATAATTGCATATAAAACTATTTATTAGGCAGATAATAGTGACTGCTTAATTTTTCTAAATCTTGATTTTTGCATTTGGAAAACTGGGCAATTATGCCTACCTTGTAAATACTTTAAAATATATAATAATTGATTTAAACTCTATTTTTATTTACTTCTATGCATATGCTTATGTGAATTCAGGCTTTCAGAGAAGCCAGAAGAGGCTATAGGATTCACTGGAGCTACAGTTACATATGGTCAACAGCTGCCTGGGAAATAGATTTGGGTCTTCTACAAGAGCAGTAAGTACTCTCTTGTAAGTAAGTATCAAGTCATTTCTCTAGCTTCTCAAATTTTATTTTAAAGCTGATACATAAAAGTGAGGATATTGAGCAGACTTGTGGGCTACTGTACTGTTTCAATGTGTGTTCCTTTATGTAATGATTAAGGTTCAATATATCTCTGTCTCAAATAGTTATTACTTATGGTAAAAAATACTGAATGAATCTTTTCTTTAGCTTTGAAGTATGTATAACATAATTGTTATATCTTATGTCTGGTTACCACACAAAGAGACTTCTTGCTCCTATCTTATGTAGCTGGACACCCTGAAGAACCTTTTCTAAGCCATCTCTGACCCCCCAGGTTCTAGTCTCCCTTTAACCTTCAATGAAGTCAACTTTTAAAATCAGATTATGTAGCACCTACCTTTCTGTGTATGAATTATTTTAATTTACTTAATAATCTCCAATTTAATCCATCTCATTGCCTAGTGACAGAATCTCATCCTTTTTATAGCTGAATAGAATTACCTTGTATATATGGACCGCATTAAGTTTGGGTATAGTAATCATGAAATTGATAAGTAGTAAGTTGGAACCAAAAGTCTAACCAGTGGAGTCTTATGGACATCTGGCCCCACTTCTAAGGAATAAGTTCTTATCTTAACTATATCCTAAACTTATTAGGGTTGAAATATGGTTTAGAACACCCCTTCATCAATAATATACTTTGCTTTCTGCTCATACCACATCTCCTTATCCGTGCCATCCATTCCATACTCCAAATTCTGTACATCTTTCTTCTTTATAATGAGAATTAAGACACTCACAGTTTATGAGGGAGAACATTGTTACTAACTGACATTCTATAAGAATTTTGAGGTTTTAATCAGAAACACTTCAAAATAGAAGACTTGCTCCAATTTAAAGCAGCTGAATCTATAGCAGTGTTTCTGGACAATGAACTGAGAGAAAGCCATCCCATGAGGATACTCTTACTCATAATGTTCCATTAGCTTCTAGCTACAAGATCTGATTTCAGTCTTGTAGTCTCAGAGCCCACACTTTTCATCCTCTGTTTTTAAGTTTCCCATGAGCCATTCCTAAAGGCATTTGTAACAGGGCATTTCGCTTAGTAAACACGGGGACTTAGCTTATCAAAGTAAATACATTATAAGTGATAACCGCAATGAGTGGGAATGGAAAACAACACAAAATGGGTAAGAAAAGTAGTATAGAGCCTCACAGGAGGCATCCAATGGATGCTGTGAGCACAATTTAAAGCTTTAAGTTGAGCATCTAGATCATGAAAGAAGAAAATAAGAGCAATTATTATTCTGATGAAGCAGAATATGAGCAAAGACACAATCTTGGGTGGAATGATAATTCACAATATTTTCAAAATCCATCTTCATTCCTTGATATGGTTCTGGTTTTATGTAGACCATAGTGATGAACCTTTTTAGTGATCTCTGAATCTAGTTGGAGTTGGTTACCAGGGCAAGATTCAGGCAAAGTATCCAGAGTATTTGGATGAGCCATGGAACAGATATAAAATGTTGTAGAAATTCAGAATCCAGGTTAGTTCAAAGTAGAGGGCAATTAGAGGATTTAGCTAAGTTAGGAATATTTTATCTGGGTCTTAAAGACAGGATACAATATAATGATTGACATGTTAAAATATGATCCTGGTAGAGCACAGCAGAAAAGTGATGAAAATCATGTGTAACAAGTGTCTAGTGGTCTCTGGTCTTGGTTTGCTTGTCATGGCCCATTTGCATAGTCACTATCCACTGAGGACCCCCAGCGCAGCCCTCCACAGCAGGTGCTGACAACCATCAGTCCTCTCATTTTCCACATCATGGCATAAAGTGAACAAATAGAGACTCTTGACATCGTAGGAAGACATACATTATTCTTAATCTTGAAATTCAGTAGAGATACCTTTTCTATGGTATACTTAACTTTCCAAATTCTTGTGGATTAATATTAGCTCAGTCTGATAGTTAAAGTCATTTATATCAGCTTATCATGGCAATTAATTTAGGGGAAGACAGTGCATAAGTGGACAGAGAAGCAAGAAAAATCAACTTGAAAACTAAATATGCTTTTAATAATGCCACCACTTTGAGCCACATGTCAATGAGAAAAATATGAGCAGATTTTACCACATGGGACACATATAACCATTATTGGGCGTGAAGAACTGGGTACACCTAACAGTATGCATCATGGATTCCTATTTAAATAATTGTTTTTAATGAATAGGATTTTCATATTTTATTTTAAATATTTGTTTCTTAGCACTTACATATTTTTTCTAAATTGACATTCTCCTTGCATAGATTCTAGTACTTAATTTCCAAAACAAGTTGATTCATATATCATTTTATACCTACTATCGGGGTATCTCAAACACTTATGACCAGTTATCAAGAGAAATAAAATACAATTAACCTAAAATTCTAATTATCATTCACTTCTTATCTTGTATTCCCAACGAACTACTTGCAAGTATCCAATGCGCTGTTACCATCTCATCTAGCAATTATTTTTTGATGCATCCATCTCTTCTTCCCAAATGCTCCCACAGTGAAGTGTGTTTACTGAGAGTTCTTTGCCTAATGAGGTGTCTACCCGTACTCAGCATGACTGGGGGCAAAGATGCATGAAATGCCACAAAACTGTACCACCAAGGACATAAACATCCCTTCAGAGGGGATCATCTCTTTGAGTCTGAGGAAAAGGGATTAATTTTACCTAGGATTTCAAACTTTTACACAGATTTGCTCTAATAAGCCATCTTTTAGTGTGCCACAGGAAATGTGTAATTTTCTTCATGGCATGTGCTAGCTTGAAAGTTTGATTCACATCAAAAATAAATCAAAATGACTTGACTGCTTCAACTTGAGAAGGCTTTGGCCCTGAACTGGGGACATGCAGTGCAGAAGTTGGCAGGTGTCGATTCGTTCTGATCAGAGAGCTCTTAAAGAGGTAGTCTCTGCAATTATCCACTCCAGATAGCCTGTTTTCTGAGACTCTTTCAAATGGATTTGTCCTTCTAGTTGAAGTTTTGCAAGGTGCTTTAGAATCCAATGCTTTCTTTAAAACATATTTTTATCTATTCTTTGAGGATTTCATGCATGTATAAAATTTGTTTTGGTCATATTTTACTACCTCTAAGTCTTCCCTTGCCTCCATCCCCATCTTCTTGCCAATTTCATTTTCTCTTTCTTTTTCATGATCCACTGAGTTCAATAAGTGCTGCCTATATATCTGTGGGTGTGGAACTACTCTCTAAAGCAGAGTCAAGTATCAAGGTTCACAAGCTGAAATAAACTGACTTTCCCTCCACTAGCAGCCATCAACTGTTACTAGTTCCTCAGCTAGTAGTGGAAGGAGGATCATGGGTTCTTTTCCCAACTATCCTGGAATGTTACCTGACTGGATCTTGTATATGTCCTATAAAGGTAATAACAGCATCTGGGGGTTCCCGAGTACAGGGTTCCTGTCATTCTGGAAGATACTCTTTTGCCCCAGTTCTCCATGACTTCTGGGTCTTAAAATCTTTCCACTTCCATTCTTTTTGGTGGTTCTTGCACTCTGCAGGTAGTGTGCATGATACAAGTATCCCATTTATAGCTGAACACTGTCACAATCGCTTGCTCTCTGCTCCTGGACCTGCTGTGAGCCTCTGTATTCACTGCTATCCACAGCCAAAAGAAGCTGAAGCTTTTCTGATAAGGAACAAGAGCTTCACTAATCTCTCAGTTTAAAGAAACTGGTTTAGAAGGCAGTTTGCTACATGCAAATTTTAAGTGAAACTTATTTGTACTCCAATAAATGAGGCAAACAAAGTCTATGACTTGAAAGTGCCAGTGTATGATTCCTTAATATAAAATGAATAAACACAGACAGCCTGTTTGAAAGGATGCAACAATTCAATCCAGGGCTATAAGGACAGTTGCATTTTTAGTGCACCCAAAACATCTCTTTTATTTTTGTACTTGATTTCAATTGCAAAGCATTGAGAAAATTGGGACTCATGACTACAAGAAATAGCCAACAGTACCAGATTTGTTTGTTGATGGCAGCTTTCTGGTTTATGGGCACTACTGAATCAGCCAGAGAGAACAGAAGAAATTTTATCTCAAGCATAAAACAAAGTGTTTTCTCTGACAGTATAAATCAATT